AAAGTCAAATTTAAATTAATTAGCATATAGCATATAATAAAACCTCATTAGCAGAGATAAGAAATATTTCTTTTTTCAAGTTTTTGAGTTGCTTGAAATCTCTGGTACTCTAACGAAGTTTGAAAGTATTATTTGCTTGAACTTCTACAAAAATTGTTCAGCTGTTAGGCATATAGCCAGAGGGTAGTTTTATATGCGGATTAACTTGCTTTTGGGTTTTTCCTTTCTTCCTTTGCTTTCAGCTAAGACAGCACTATTGCAATTAAGTGAATACTTTATACATCTAAAGCAACCCAAGTAAGGAGAAAAACACTTTACCACCTCTTAAAACATCTAGAACCTTTCTAGACTGTATGTTGCAATGAAAATAATTTCATAAGACACAAACATTATCATTAACAAAACTGAACTTTGAATTATCATGTCAAGAACTGAAGTTCATCTAAACAATATTTCTCACCTTGACCAATGGCCACCACTTTTGGAAGACGTTTCCAAACAGCATTGGTAAGTTCTGCTCCTAGAGGTGCAGCGCCGCTTATAATGGTATCAACACTGGTAAGGTCATAGTTATCCACCAATGGATGCTTGGCCAAGAATGTAACAATTGGCGGCACAAGAAACAAAACGTGTATCTAGAATATAAATTTAAGAAAATTGAGGGGTTTAAGCATTGCTTATGTTGAGATGGTAAACTAAAAATTGAACTTATGCATCAATTAATTTGAAGCTTCAACATTCCTGCCCCACTCTGGCAGAGCTTATTTAGTTGGTGATCATTTCCCTTATTCTCATGACCTTAGTGTTTAATTCAGGGGTGATATTATAAGGAGAAACTAGATGCTACTCTGTCGAAGGGGTTAAAGGGTTAACAACGCCAGGTGAAAATGAAACATTTTGAAAAAAGAGTTGACGCAGTAAAATGTGAGTGAGGGTAAAAGTGCTAGATTTCTAAATTAAATGTGCAGTGGAAGTACGAAGAAAATTGATTTTGCTTCGATTCAACAAAGGTTAAAATTGTCAAGCTAATTAGGACTCAAGCATGCATGCCTTGATGTACTTATCATTAGTCCATTAGCTGTCACAGCTCTGAGAATTCAGAAACAAACCTTGCAATCTTGTACAAGCTTTAGCATGTGCTCTCCCTCAAATTTCTGCATGCAGACAAGTTTCCCTCCACGGTAAAGATATTGTGACATTACCACCACCATGCCAAATATGTGGAAAAATGGCAGAAGTCCAAGGGTAGTTCCTCGCCGTGGTTGAGACATAAAATTCTCATGCATGATAATACACAACTGTGAGACTATGTTGTGATGTGTGAGCATAACTCCTTTAGGGAAACCTGTGGTACCACTAGAGTACGGCATAGCACAGATATCTTCTTTTGGATTAATTGCAACATTGTCTGGAAAGGCCATTCCATCATCACTGAGAAGAGATGCCCATGGTTCACACCCCTCTGCTTCACCAATAACAAACACTTCCTTAATTCCTACCTCTGTTGCAGCTTGTCTAGCTCTGTCTGCAATCTCAGGCACAGTCAGAATATATTTGGCAGCAGAGTTCTTAAGCTGGTAAGCAATCTCCTTTTCAGTGAAAGTAGGATTTAAAGTTGTAACTGTACCACCAGCAGCGATAACTCCGAAAAATGAAACAGGATACTCTGGCACATTTGGAAGGTAGAGAGCAAAAACATTTCCTTTCTGAAAACCCCTTCTTGTTAGTGCTGAAGCAAACTTTTTCACTGATGTACAGAGTTCACTGTAAGTGTAGGATTTCTCTGAGGCTCCATCTATCTAAAAAGAGGTTCAAAATTTAAGAATACAAGCAACCCAATTCGTCTCAGGCTGGACTCAAATTTAAGTAAACTTTTTGTAAATTTTGGAATACCTCCAGGACTACACGTCCTCGCTATGTCACGAAATCTTACAAAACCTAGACTTCGTGACAACGTTACCACAAACTTAGGACAGTTTGCCATAAAATATTTACTGATCTTAGACGTTTTTAAACGATATTTCCGTATGCATTTAAGTCTGCATTTTCATTTTATTGTCTTTAAATTGCCTTTACTATTTAGTTTACCAATTTCGTTTTGGGTTTACTAAAGCGTGACCACTTTAAAACAATAGGTTGTTTTCATACACGAGTAAACATTCCAGTAGTCTGTACATAGATCTCACCAATTATCATTATTTACGTCGACAGAAATGAATATGCAGATATGAATGTAAACTCTATAATTGTTCCTCTGTTTTCACTTCGCTAAGCACAAAATTGATCGTCTAGAACACGTTCCAAAGTTCACTAAATAAAACACGGAAGTGTATTCCAGTGCTGCTCAGCTCAATAATTTGGTTTATAAGACGCTTTTGAAGCTTTCCTGTTGCCTCATTAATATAGAATACACTGGCCTAAAAACGCTTTGTCTGGCATACTGTTCGCTCGAGTTCATTCCAGAAGGTTCGTGGAACAATTCATCACGCTGACTGCAAACAAATCAAAGAGCTGATGTTATCGCGTATCACTCGATATTTACCCTACAAAAAGAAAAAAAGAAACATCGGGGTTACTTACCACTGCAGTATCGTCTCCATATTCTTTGAACTTGTTGAGCACGAAATCACTGAGGGATATCTCTGGTACATCAACTGTGTGATCGCTCTTCACAATGCCTGCGGACGAACGGAAACTGCGACAAAGCGCGCCACTCAAATAAGATGAGTGAGGCGCCTGTTCAATTCGCGTGAAGATATTTGAATAAGATCGTTTTTGCAATTGAACGATTCCTTCAGATAGACGAAGGCTTTGAAAACGGCTTCGTAATAGCCTCGGGGAAATCAAAGAGCGCACAAGAAGGACGGTTGAGTTCGCCATACTTCTGCTAAGAGAAACCATAGAGCGAAGACTGAGCTAGACTGGGGAGAGTTTTTCAGATTCGGACCGTTAAGGCCTATTTACACGGCACGACTTTGTCGCATGCGACAAAGTCGTACCGTGTAAATAGGCCCTTAGGGTCCGTTCTGGCTGGTTACCGTCGATTCAGATTAATATATGTACGTTCTTGCGCTCTGCACAAGGGCTGAGGAAAAATGATTTTTTTGGCTAATACTCTTTGGCTTCACCTATTACGCTACTCTGCATCTCAAATAAGTAACATGAATCACGTTCATGTAATGTAGAATGTGCTACCGCGCCGCAGTGAACCAAACTGCATGCGTTGTACTCCAAATAAACAGTTTCCAGGTTTTTAGTTTTTAGACCTCAAAAAGACAATTTTTATTTTTAAGATTTAATGGTCCGTGCCTTTCCCTCCCTCACTGGAGACGGAATATGACCGGTGGAGGTCTTGGAAAGTAGCTTTTTTCTTCAATCACTCTGTCTTCCATTTGTTCCCACGAGCTGAATACCTGGAACAGGCCAAAGTTTACTGAAGCTTATGTATACTACTATGTATATGCGTCTTTTGCTTGTGTGTATTTGAGGACGATAATTAAATATTTTTTAGTATGAGGCACGCATGAAGAATAAAAAAGACATTAAAAGAAGACGATGAATGTAATAGAACCACAATCTTAAATATATAAAATCTGTCGGAATCTTTTCGACTAATTACCTCACGGAGATTGTTGAAAACACCACTGATTTCCGGGCCTGTAGATTTCAAACTTTTCTGGGGGAGGATGGCCCCAGATCCCCCAACAAACTCGCGTCCCTGACGCTTGTTATCAAGTCCACCCCTCCCCTTCTTCCCCCCCCCCCTCCATATTCAATTGAAAATAGGCTCCGCCGTCCCTGTAGACATAATCCATTTATAAATGCAGACAAAGAAAAAACAAAACAAAACAAAAAACAGGAAATGACATTGAGGAAACGACTATTTTTCATTGGATTCTTAATGAAAACAAACAGTATTCTATAATGAAAGGAGTGAAAATGTAGTTCAATTCTTCAAGTGACTCTAGTTATTTACAGAAAATATGCCACGGAATTTCAAAGTTTTATTGACTTGTAAGATGTCTAAGATGGGCAAAACAAGACCGAGAGATAAACACAAATGATGATGACGGATTTATTGGGAGTACTCGCAGTTCTTTTTCTCCGAGTATAACTGTTTTCAGATTCATTGTTATTTCTATACTTCGCTAGAAATTCTGGCAGCAAAATTTCTTCAGGGAAAATTGCATTGGAGTGATTTTGTGGAACTCTATTTTTGAGATCGCTGATGTTAAATTGTGGCAGGAGCCCATTAAGAGATGGGCTCATGATTGTGCTCAGTTGTTGTCCGAATATTATTTGAATCGGATGGCATTAATTAGATTGAAAATATAGTCGACTCTCGATAACTCGAACCTTCAAGGGAAATTGAAAAAGGTTCGAATTATCGGAAGATACAGGCAGGGTAGTAAAATGTACCCTAAACCAACGAAACCTGGTTCAACAGTTATCAAAGGTAAAATTTGTGGAAAATGACCTGAAGGAAAACGGAAATTGCTTCGAGATATCAAGGTTTCGGAATACCGAGGGTTAAATTGTTAAAATGGCGGAAACTCAGGGGAAATCGATTTTGATTTGAGTTAGCGCGAGATTCAAGTTAGCAACGGTTCGAACTATCGATATCCGAAGTCGCCGTGTAAGCACGATTTACAAGAAAGAGGCGCTACTGCTCAGTTTAAACTCTTTCGACACAAAAAAAAGAGTGTAAAAAAGTGCTTCAGCGATATACTTAGAAAACCAACTACAGCGTATTCTAAGACTTACAGCTGACGTTCAACATTTAACCTAGATCTTTTCAAAAGGTGCAACTCTGCAAATAGATAGTAAGTCTGATGGGCATACGTGGAATGGAGAAATTCATGAAGAGATTCCGGAATACTTAAAGAACGTTTTTAATGAAGATAGTCAGCTAGGACCATATAGGTTACGTAAATAGGATTTGGACCACTAACAGCTTGTTCATCCCTGGGATAAAGTTTCCTTGTGCAATGAGATATCCCCATGAGATACGTCAGCTTCTCACTATGACATCTGGTACACCCCTAATATACTCCTAGGATATCGTTACCCTGTGTAGCATCTGGTACACCCTGGGTTTCTATGTAGTCTCTATGCTTAGTTTTTAACTCAAAACAGCCAAGCCAGTATTAAACGAGCGCCTATAAAGAGCAACAAGCCAACCGAATCTTTGCTGGCTGAGTCGTACAGCGCCGTTGTGGTTTGTGAGAGTTTCGTAGTCATGGTACTAGTTGGTTTATACAGAACAGTCGTTGCCGAGCCATCCGTGTAATTCATTACGGTGTTATTCATTTGGCTTTGCGTGAGGTTAAGCCCTTTAAATCGGAATTCTCCCAGGCTTACGATGGGATTTGGGGCTTTAAATGCACCCTCCATGGTGTTAGTGATCCGGAAAATGTCTACGAATGGCACTGTCGCTTGATTGACGCTGTTAAACTGAAGCCCGCTATCTGTGCCTGAATCATACGGTGGTAACATGGTCACGTTCCAGGTCTCTCGCCACTGGCCATTGTCACAGAGATCATGGCTGTCAATTCCTACGAACCAATCGGGGGATGGAGCGAGCATACTGATCAGAGACACCCTTGAAAAGTTGGAGGTAACCTTGACTTGAATACTGGTCAGTTCATCCACTGCACCAAGCCCAGGTCCCGCGGGCAGAATGAGCTGCAAGGCTTTTCCCCCAGAGATTTGAGACTCTATTTCGCCTTTAAGAGTTCCAGTTTGACCTATGAAAAACGTCACAATGTTTCAAATATTTTTTGATCATCATCGAATATCTTCTTATTCACTTTATGGTGTTGTGAGGCTCCTAAATATTGAACCAGCCAACAGGCGTTAATTCCAAGGGTATTTTTCTTCAGTTAAGGTGCCGCTTCTTTCCTGTGACATTTCACCACCAGTTTAAGAGAGAAAAACCAACTCTCCCTCACTCTCACTTGCCATGATTCTCTCCTGACACAGGCATAATGGTCAAGTCATGACAGAGAGGTTACACTCGCAGTTCTGATTAACATCACCAGAAAGCAAGAAGTAAAATTGATTTAGTGCTTCGGTGATTATAGAGATGCGCGCGCTCTGATTGGTCGAGAATTGCACCATATCTCGCTATAATCATCTCGCGCGAGACGATTACAGCTGGGCCGCTAAATTTCAAAATGGCTGCTTTGCGTTTTGTCAATGGTACACAAAGAGTGATGAACGCCATGGAAGAATATACAACTCTAAAGAGCACAAAAGGTGCTATTCAGTTTGGGGTAACACTTTTCAAAAGAAAGATATGAAGTTTTTGCTGATTTAATCGAGAAGACTGTTAAATTCTAATGGAAACTGGCTGCTTATCTCGATACGAGTAATCGTAACAATTTTAACGGAATGGTTTCAAAAACAAAACGATTTTTAAAACAGAATTTGAAAGCAACTGAACAATTTTACTAAAACAATTATCTGCCTTAGACTCTGAGTATGTATATGTTATTTGCCGGCTAGGAGGTCCCTTAAGTGAAAACTAAACATATATATATATATATATTTAACAAATAGATTCCAAGTTGCCGTGCGTCTGTTCAGTAATAGATCACAGATGACGTCAAAATGTGGTAAGAACAAAAAAGTGGCACACTTCGGGCAGCATTTTCAAGACCTCGGTCACAGTTTTTCACCATACGGACCTCCCAGCCGGCAAATAAATATATGTTATCACAGTTTTTCACCATACGGACCGACTCTTAGCCGATAAATAACATATTTATTGTTTTTAAACTTAACGAAATTCTTTCCGAAAGAACCC